AAAAAAAAAAAAAAAAAAAAGTCACTCTGGGGAGTGACCTCCCTGGCCCTCTACTCTGTCTGTCTAAATCCTGCCTCAGGTAGTCCCCCTTTCTCTAAGAAGCATTTTGTGATTACATGCAAGTATTTTTTCCTCTTAAAAAAAAAGTTAATTGTTCTCTTTATTATTTCATGTATGTAGTTTTCTGTCTCCAACTTGATTATAAATTCATTATATTTAATTTCATTTCTTAAGGTTAGAAACTTTCCATTTTTTTTTGTTCCCACCTACAGCTTACAGAGATAGACACATAGTAGGCTATCAATAAAGTTTGGTTTATTTTTTGCTAACTCAGAGCACACTTATAATCTACTTATTCCTCACCTGTGAGGAGAAAATATAAAAATATGTACATATTTAGTGTTGTTTTTTAGGAATTGCTTTTGCCCCAACCCCAGCAGCCTTTAGAAAAGCCTAATGGCTACCAGCAACAGAAGCCTGCAGCAAGCTCCGTATTCTCTCTTCATTTGAATATCAGTTTCCATTGATGAAAGCCCCTCTCTCTCAGAAGTTTTAAATAATGATAAGTATTACCATATGTTAGGAGCACAGGGAAGCAGTAACCTTGGGTTACTGGGTTTGCAGAACTCTTTGTAGCTAAACAGCATGATTTTTTTCCAGTGTGTTGCTTAACGACAGGGATATGTTCTAGGAAATGCGTCCTTGGGTGATTTTGCCATCGTGGGAACATCATAGAGTGTACTGTACTTACTTACACAAAGCTAGGTGGTATAGCCTACTGTGCTCCCGTGTTACATTGTGTAGCCCCTTGCTCCTAGGCTACAAACTTCTACAGCACGTTTATCTGCTGAAACACTGTAGGCAAGCATAACACAATGGTAAATATTTGCGTCTCTAAACGTATTTAAATGCAGAAAAGGTACAGGGGAAATACAGTATTATAATTTTATGGCACCACTGTGGTATATGCAGTTCATCATTGACCAGAACTTCATTATGTGGTGCATGGCTGTGATACCATGTTCTAAATCCCTGAACAAGCCAGAATTACCAACTGAAGATTACTGCACTAGAATAATGAAACTGGCGTTTTGTGAGGTATCAACCCAGAGCTCTCAGGTTTTCCTGTGGGTATATGTTACAAAAGGAGATGTTTTGTTATTTGTTCTTGTACCCTATCTACTTCCTAAAGGGACTAGGGATAACTTTCATGGAATGCACAATGTAACATCCAGCCATTAATACAAAATAAACAGGAAAAGTTAAGTAGTGCAGAATTTTTTAAAAGAAAGCCTTCTATTAAGAAACTCGGGCTGATTTTGCCTGAACTTCCTTCTTATTCAAGCATAGAGGAAAACTCAAGAGGGTTGTGTAGCCTTCATTGGATAATAAAGGAAACATACTGAGTTCTCAAGACAGAGAATTTTTGCTAGGCCATTATGCTGAGAGTCTTCCATCGGGGTCTTTTAGAGACTTGAGCCACCTAAATAATATCTTGGTAATCATTTTAGAAAGAAATTATTGTAGTATATTGCTATTTCTTATATCAGCCATTAGTGAAAAATGGGAGCCTTCATGTAGAATTAGGATAGTTTTCCATTAAACAAATCATTTTTCAGTTAAGTCAGTTAAGCCAGCTATATGGTCTGGACACACAGCTATGTCCAGATATTTGAATAAACCTTGAAGAATCCCATATATTAAATAACATAATAAGCTTCATCCTTGCCATCTATGTTTTGAATGTAGAGCAAGTGGATCTTTTTTAAAAAATAGTATATCACATACCTGTCCTCATGCTCACTAATAAGAGAATCTCTGCCTGCCTGCTGTCTAGCTGCCACTGTTCTCAGCCAGGCTTTTGGCAAACGCTAGATGACAAACTTGGTATTTTATTATGTATTTTGAAGATGCTGAATGGTATTTTTATCACATTGGGCTATAGAAGTGCCTCTAAGCAGAGCCAAAACGTTTCTCCAAAAGCAGGGTTGGAGTCACCCAAGGACTTGAATGAGTACTATGTACCTTTTACTAACATGCTGGCCCTTGAATTTCAGGTACGGTGGTTGAGGAGAGCAATGGCTCTGACGAGATGGAGAATTCAGATGAAACCAAAATGTCAGAAGAAATACTGGCTTTGGTGGATGAATTTCAGCAAGCATGGCCTTTGGAAGGCTTTGGGGGTGCACTGGAGATGAAGGGGCGGCGTCTAGACTTACAAGGAATACGGGTGCTGAAGAAAGGTCCCCAGGATGGAGTGGCCAGAAGCTCTTGCTACGGAGACTGCAGAAGTGAAGATGATGAAGCAACAGAATGGGTAAGTTTGCCAGCTTAATTCTTACAAAATTGTAGCCCATGTCCTTCAGGGGATCCTAGTATGCAAAGTGGAAGTTTCTGTTGGATATGTGGCACTACTTGGCTGCACACTCCAGGACAGCCTTCACATTGGAATTTTACCGGGAGGAAGCATTTCATGTTACTTATGTATTGCTGGCTCTTCTGGGAGGCAGGAGGAAATGGGATGGGTGTGAAGCCACAGTCAGAGCCTGCAGACTTGGAACTGTCCAGTTCAGACATCTTTCTTTTCAGTTTCTCCTCTACATTCTTCAAGACTAGGTTATTTTGTTCATTTCACTAACCATTTTTTATTTAGGTCTTTAAGAGTTAAATTCAAGGAGAGAACCTGAGCACAAGACTTGGTTATTCTTAACTAGTATTCACAAGTCATTGACAGATTTGATCACTGGTCTCATTTGTCCCTAACATGTTTCTGTTTCCCAGATTACATTCCAGGTCAAACGTGTAAAGAAACCCAAAGGAGATCATAAGAAAACTCCTGGGAAAAAAGTAGAAACAAGTCAGATAGAAAATGGACATCGTTACCAAACAAACCTGGAGATCACTGGCCCCAAGGTGGCATCTCCTGGGCCACAAGGTAAATTTGAATGTTTAATATGCCAATTTCTTGTTTTAGATATCACTGTCTCATTTCTCACAGAGGCTGTATTTGTAACTTGAAATAGTTCAGATGAGATGATAAAGGGGCAAAGTGATCAAGAAACCAGTCTGTCTTCTGTATCAATGAAAAAAGTGTTCAAACGCTAAAACATTATGGAAATGAAATTCCAGTGGATTTAACATTATGTGTAATAAATCATAAAGGAAGAAAAACTAGGTGAATATTTACATGTTCTTTCCATGTGGGAAGAACTTTCTAAGGCAAAGAGAGAGAAAGAAAATAATAATTCTGACACTGGAAAGCACCACAAAATAAGACAAAAGACTGAAGCAAAGTATTTTTTGTAGATTATTTTTGTATATATTTACAGAATATATGATAAGCAGAGGGTATCAATATCATTTAAAGAGCACTTACAAATCAATATGAAACATACAATATTTCAATAAAATGTATGCAGCATACATAGGCAGCTCACCAAACACACACACACACACACACACACACACACAGATGGCCACTAAACTTGAGAAGATGTTCAACCTCATCAGCAATCAAAGGAGTGCAGGCATAAACAGTAAGATACCAGTTTTGATTATCAAATTGTTTTTAAATGTGTAACACACATTTTATTTAAATGAAGTGAATTTTGGGGTAGTCTGACTAGACGCATCAGAAAATTTAAAAATATACCAGTTATTCTACTTATGGTAATTTACCCTAAGTAAATCATCTTACAAGTGCCATAGATGTAAGTAGAAAGATATTGATCATGGGGTTGCTTATAATAAAAATTTGTAAACAACCTGAATGTTGTAATTGCCTAAGTAAATCATAACACGTCCATGCTGCATAATATGCAGCCAAAATATTGGTAATATACTAAGAAAAGCAATTTATAAAGTAGTAAATGTAGAGAATACCTTAATCATTATGCTGTATTTCATCAACTACATTTTTTTCACATTTCAATATCTCTGAAATTGGAATACATCTTAGAGTTGATAGTATCTTATATAATGGCACTGTTTTTCTTTCTTAAATCCTTTAAAATAATGTATATTTACAGTTGGCAGCATCTTAGATTTGATGAAATATGGTATAGTAAACAAGCACATAGAAACAAAAGTAGGAGGAAATACATCAAAATGTTATAAATGGTCATCTCTGGGTGCTAACAGAGCTATAGGTGATTTTTATTTTCTTCTGTATGACTTCCATTTTTTAAATATTTTACAATAAGCCTGTATTACTTTTATAAACAAAAAAACTAAAGATGTATTATAAAAGTGAAAACTAAAGCTGAATATGGTTGAGATGATATGAGAGCACTTAAGCAGTTTTAAATGTATTCAAATTGGTGGGCCCAAGTAGGGCACTGAATGTACTTGCAAATGGGATCATGGAACCACTTATTGGCATTAAAGTGAAAAACTCTAAAGCATAGAGGACAGAAATACTAGAGAAATTCAAAATCCCAATTTTCAGTTAAGTATGGATTCTATTCACTGCTAACTAATCAGCTTCATGATAAATCCTGACCAAGTTATAAAGCAAAGTATTAAATAGTTTGTGAGCCCATGGGGGAAAAATGGAGATCATTAAGAGCCATTGTAGATTTTCTAAGAACTAATAATAATGCTTAACTAATTTCATTTCCTTTTTTGGTTAGGGCTACTAGACTGGAAGACCAGGAAAGTGCCATAGACATAATGTAACTGGATTTCAGCAAGGCATTTAACAGAGCCTCTTATGATATCCTTGTGAACCAGATGGAGAGATGTGGGCTTGAAGCCTTCCCATTGCCTACAGGATAAAATTCAAACTTCCTAGTGTGGTGTACAAGACCCTTTACAACCCGCCTCTGTGTACCCTTCAACACCATTCTCTGAACCAACCATGCTCATGTTTTTACCTCAGTGCCTTTGCACATGCTGTTCCCTATGCCTGGAATGCCCTATGCCCCCTCTGCCCTCTGCCGTGCTAAAATATCCCTCATCCTTAAACTTCAAAATCAAGTGCCATCTCTTCCTTGTTACCTTCAGGCAGAATTAGTTACTCTTTCCTCTGTGCAATTGTTCTATATCTTTGCTCTAGCTCTTTTCCTATTGTATTGTAATGATTTGTTTATGTTTACCTTCCTTACTAGACTGTGAGCTCAAGAGCAGGCCGTCTTATGATTCCTGTCTGTACCCCTAGTGTCTTTTATGGTTCTCAGCCCCTTATAACAGGTGCTCAATAAATATTTTTCAAATGAAATTATTAAATGTAAAAGAAAATAAGATTTTTTGTGAAAATTATGGCTTATTTAAGTTATTAATTTAAAGAGAGTTAATTTGAAACTCTTTCAAAACTGTTCCTTTCTGTTTTGTTAAAATCTCAATCTAAACCCCTGCCTGTACCTCAAACAGTTTTCTACTGTTGGTAAATTCCTATAATATAAAAAGTGCTATACAGAACTAAAGTTCTCCTTCCTGCCTATTCCATTATAACTCCTTCAGAAAACCCCTCCCAGACAAGACAGTTCTGCTCTTTTCTTGGGGATTTGATGTAAGTAAAGCGCCCAGACCCAAAAAGTAGTACCTACGAAGGATATTAATAAACAGAGCTTTAAAATTTTTTTGTAGCTTTAAATAGCTTGTTGATTGGGAACATACACGTTAGAGTCAAACAGACTTGGATCAGGATCCCAGCTCTGCCATTTCCTAGCCAGGTGACCTGGGCAAGTCATCTAGTCTCCCTGAGTCTCTGTTTTCTCATCTGAGAAATGAGGGTTAAAACCTACTTCAGGCCAGATGCAGTGGCTCACATCTATAATCCCAGCACTTTGGGAGGCCAGGGTGGGAGGATCACTTGAACCCAGGAGGTTAAGGCTACAGAAAGCTAGTATCATGCCATGGCACTCCAGCCTGGGCAAGAAAGCAAGGTGCTGTCTCTAATTAAAAAAAGAAAAATGGAAAAAACTTATGAGGTTAAGGATGTAAAGCACTTAGCACGGGATCTGAATACACAGGAAGTGCTCTTCAAATAGATGATAACCAGGCTGGTTCTTGGACTGTGGTGTTGTGGCGGGGGCTGGGGGGAGATGATCATCTCTCATTAACATCATTATTCCCTGCTGCTCTTCTTTATAGCAGTGGTTCTCTCTACTGGGTGTGATGTTGCCCCCCAGGGGACATTTGGCAATATCTGGAGACATTTTTGTTGTTTTATCTGGGGAACGGTGCTACCCACATCCAGTGGGTAGAGGCCAAAGATGATGCTAAACACCCTCCAGTGCACAGGACAGGTCCTCAAAAAATTATCCAGCCCAAAATGTCAGTAATACCAGGTTGAGAAACCCTGCTTTAGGGATATATGTTTCTACTAAGTTGGAGTTGTCTTTATAAAATCAAAATACAGAGGGGGCAAAAATTAAGTTTGGTAAGACTGTTAACATTGAAGAATACATTAACCCTTATTTCATGTTGCTCAGTCTTAAATCCACCAAAGGACTCATTTATTCTTTCTTCTCCACCTGTCTTTACTCAGAGATGATCTTTAGTCCCATTGCATAATGACAAGATTTTAATTAGACCATAGATGGGGGAAATGCTAAAGACTACAAGAATGACTAGCACCTCCAAATACACCAATCTGGGTGAAGTAATCATCAGGGCACAAGGCCCTTTGGGTTCTGTTCCTTTGCAATCGCGTGGATTCATGGCATACTTTCCTTCCAGGAAAAAAACGTGACTACCAGCGTCTGGGATGGCCCAGCCCAGACGAATGCGTCAAACTCCGCTGGGTAGAGCTGACTGCCATCGTGAGTACCTGGCTTGCAGTTTCTTCAAAAAACATTGAGTAAGTATGTTAAGCCTTTCCCTCCTTTATGGCATTTGAGTTCCACTGAACCCAGCTGACTTTAAGGATGCCCTCTTAGCAGAGAGTAGAAAAGTTATCCTTTCTAGAGCTGAATTTTCAAAGGATGACCATGCTGACCATGGCCCCCATGTGGACCCAACCCATTGTAGCAAAGCCGTGAGTGTGCCTCCCTTCCCGGTGCCTTCACCTGTCCTTCGTAAGCTATCTAGCAGCCATGTATAACCTGCTTAGTTTGCATTGAAGACTAGATCCTCTTTATAGAAGCACAAAACCCATAGTTTCTCATGAATATCATGCAGTTGTAAGGGAGCCAGAGCAAATCCAGATTTGCAAACACCTACTGAGACATACTAGGTGCCTCTGATAACTGCTTTCTCCTCACTGGACACTCACTCTCTTTTGCTGACCCCTTTTCTACCCTTTAAGTGTTGGAGTTTCCCAGGATTTACCACTAAGCCTTCTTATTTTGTAATCACGTCTAGTCAGACTGATCTACTCCCAAAATTCCAATCAACACAGATGTACTAACAGCTCCCAAACTTGAATCTCCATACCAGACCTTCTACAATGCCTTCAACTCATTTGTCTGTCTCCCTGACCTGTCTTGTCTAGATTGCACTCAGGCATCCCATGCTCAGGAAAACTAAAGTCATAATTTTCTTGCCCACTCTCCATATTAAAAAATTATTGTTTCGTTTGTTTTTTCTTTTCCTATTTTTAGTAAATAGTTCCAGCAATGCTTAGGCCAAAAACCTGGGAGTTATCCTTAACAATTTTCCTCCCTTGCTCTTCAAATTCAGCCTGTTACCAATTCTTAGCACTTTTACTCCCTGAGTATTTTTCAAAACCACCTACTTTTCTCCATCTCCATTGGTGCCTCCTCAAACCAGAGCATAACCATCCCTACATCGGTTCATCCAGTACCTCCTAGCTGGTCCTCTTGCTCTGTTCACTCTTGCCTCTGTTCAACCTGTTCTCTCCACAGTACTCAGAATTCTTCAGATATAAGTCAAATCATCCTTAAAGCGCTCTAGGAAATTCTTACTGCTATTTAAAGTGGACTTGATCTGCTTTTCTTGATCTGCTCCCTGCCTGTTTTTTCATCCTCTCTTTTGCCCTCTCTCCTGCCAGGACTGTCACACATGGTGTCTCTTTTGTCTGTGGCATTGTTCTCACTGTGGGTTCTCAGCTGGTTAATTCATACTAAACCTTCTGGCCTCAACTTAATCTTACCTCCACAGAATCCTTTACTAGCTACCTCCCTGCTCCACCAGTGCAGAGGCAACGTATACCCTCCTGGAGTGTACTGTCACTGCACCATATTTTATCTTTTATAACTTATCACATGTAATAAATGAATCACTCACAAGGGAATAAACATGATAACAGCAGGGACTGACTATGTTTTACTCATTATTATAGTCCTTGTATCTGACATGTAATAGACTGTAAATAAATAATGAGTGAATGTTTGCCTAATAATTGTTAGACTTTTTAAATAGCTGCAAGTAAAACATGGCAGTGCCAATTTGTCATATTAGTGCATATGACAGTCTATAATAGTTTGTATATGGTGGGAAAATGAAAGGAAGTACTTAGTCTTACACCTAAATACAGTGTACGGCTGTTTATCTCTATAAAATTTACTGTCTAAGCTTTAGGTAACTTTTTCTGTGGGGAGGAATGTGCTGCTGTGCATAAAAGAAAACTAAAAGATAATAACCAGTTGTGGGTATTTATCACCACTTATATCTTGGAAGAAGAAATCCTAGAAGAAAACTTACCTCGTTTAAAATCAGAGGATAGCATGTTGAAGCTATGATGAGCTGATTGTTAACGCTGTCTCTCTTCTCTTCGCACCCACTCAAAAATTTCCTAATGTGGTCATCTCCATTTCTCAGCATCACAGAACACATAGACTTTGCCACCCCTATACAGCAGCCAGCAATGGAGCCTCTTTGCAATGGCAATCTCCCCACGAGTATGCATACCCTGGACCACTTGCATGGGGTTTCCAACCGAGCCAGCCTGCACTACACAGGGGAGAGTCAGCTAACAGAGGTGAGTGCTCAACTTTGTTCAGGCTGGTTTTTAGCCTCACAATTAGGATGCACATTGATAGTGGAAAGCACAGGTGACCAGGCCTTTAAAAAAAAAATAGGGGCTTTTTTTCAGTTAGGCATCACCTAGGTGGATTTGGGCCAAGCCTGATTTCTTTCAGGCCCTTGGACTGAGCTTATTAGTCTTTTTTTATTTATGACCATGGAATTTTAATCCTGATTTACCCCTCAAGGGGAGTAGTTCTGCCTTGCCATCAAATATAGACTCTTGAGAAAAATGTTTGGGGCAGTTAATTCTCCTGTTGACATTTTTAAGAAGGAAGGTAAGGAAGGCAGGCCCAATATATACCTAGCAAAGCATCTACCTAGAAGAATTGGAAAAACATGTCACAAGTATCCAACAGTAGAGCATTGGTTAAATAAATTTTGGTATAGAAGTAAGATAGTATACAGTGGCACCATTAGAAAATATATAGAAATATTCTTATTGACGTGAATAAATTTTCACAGTATGTAATGTGAAAACATAGGTAACAGTATATAGTATAATTCAATATTTTGTGAGAAAACGTACATAGAAAAATATCTGAAAGACATATAAAGGTGTTAAAAGTGGTTGATACCTCTCTATATGTCTTTACATGTCTGAATGACAAGATTACACATAGTTTATTTCATTTACTCTGTGGTCTAATGTCGCTATAATGAATGTGTTTTATATTCTGTAATTTTTGTTAAATGTGGGAGAGCTGAGGGGATGCTAAAACAGCCTTAAATGTATCTTCCATAGATTACCTTACCAATAGGACCACAGCATGTATCCCAGAAAAACAGTTTGCCTCTGTGGTATGGTGCCCAACTCAGCATTAGCAGTATCATCTAGATCCTGCGTCGTTTTCATTCTACTAATCTGCCATCTTCCTTCCTTCCAGGTATTACAAAATCTCGGCAAAGACCAATATCCACAACAGTCGCTTGAACAAATTGGCACCCGAATTGCCAAAGTTTTGGAAAAGGTAAGTCTCCCCACAGAAAAGCTGGAAACAATTGCCCTCCTTCTAACTTCTTTTCTAGGTTATTTGCTCCTAAGTGTCTCTAACCTCTTCTGTTAGTTACTTAGCACTTGGTGGCTCAAAGGATAATGTGAAATAACTCCCCTCAGAATGTTTCAGTCACTTTTTTAATATTCTTTTCTGTCTCTTTGCCTACCTTCTGTGGTGAAACTTACCTAGTCAGTTTTCTCTTCTTTACCCCAGTATGTGTGTATAGAAGTGTTAGTATTGGAAACCATGGAATCTAGGTATATGAAATAAGTCAGATATTCTTCTGATGGTGAAGAATATTTGGTATTTTGGATGATGGATGGGAAACACACTTTGAAATGTCTTTTCTCTTGAAATCATGAAACAAAATATTCACCAAATTGCATTTTCATAGAGCCTACAGAAAATATCATTGAGAGATTCTAAGACTCCTCTTCTTCTTCTTCTGTGTGATATTTGTGTAAAGAGGAGGGGTTTTTAAATTTAATTTTATTACTTTATGACTAAGAATCTCTCTACTACTGTATAATATTAAATAGCTAATTTAGCGTAGTCATTTAAAGAATTAACCCAACTTAAAATATGAATGTGACATTGTGAGATAGTGAGATAGCAACTTCCTTCATCTTCCGGATATCGCACATGGAAAAATCATGAGCAGACCCCAATTATAATGAAACTAGGGCAAGCACATGATCCCCAGACTTCAAAAAAATGTAAGGATTGCCAAAAGTGGTTATGATCCACACAAAACCATACAAGATGAATTGTAGCAGAAGTCAGGCAGGGTTAGCAATTTCAGAAAACATCAGCAAAATTCTACTACCTGAAGGAACTTTCTACAAGTAGCCCAACCAGGAAAATCCTGAGTAATAAAAACAGAGCAGACACAGCACTGATACAAAAATAAAAGAAAACCGGCTGGGCCCAGTGGCTCACACCTGTAATCCCAGCACTTTGGTGGACAAAGCAGGAGGATCATTGGAGCCCAGGAGTTTGGGCCAGCCTGGGCAACATGGCGAGACTCTGTCTCTACAAAAAAATTAAAATGTTTGCACACACCTGTAGTCTCAGCTACTTGGGAGGCTGAGGCAGGAGAATCAGTGCTAGCCCAGGAGGCAGAGGTTGCAGTGAGCCGAGATCACGCCACTACACTCCAGTCTGGGTGACAGAGTGAGACTCCGTCTCAATGAAGAATGAATGAATGAATGAATGAATGAATGAATACCATAGGAAAAAGCAGCAAAACTTACCAAAGAACACACAGCAGGAAACTATTGTCATGGAACACATTATAATTCAGACTAAACTTTTCTCCATGAATTAAAATATTAGGCCAGGCAGAGTGGCTCATGCCTGTAATCCCAGCACTTTGGTGGACAAAGCAGGAGGATCATTGGAGCCCAGGAGTTTGGGCCAGCCTGGGCAACATGGCGAGACTCTGTCTCTACAAAAAAATTAAAATGTTTGCACACACCTGTAGTCTCAGCTACTTGACAGATTGAGGTGGGAGGATCGCTTAAGCCCAGGAAGTTGAGGTTGCAGTAAGCCATGATCATGCCACTGTACTCCAGCCTGGGTAACAGAGTGAGACGCTGTCTCATTTAAACATAGAATATTCATTCATGAAAATTGTATCAGAGCAGTGAACAAATTCCAAGGAAAAAAATAAAAGTAGCATTTTCTGGCCACAATGCAAAATAATAATAATAATAATAATAAATAACAATATAAAAGCCCTCCTACTTGGAAATTCTAAAACATGTCATTTAAACAGCTCCTGAGTCAAAGGGAAACTAAAAAATTTAGAATTTCTTGAAGATAAAAGAAAACAAAATAACAGTCTGTAGAACAGACTAAAACAGTTTTCAGAGAAATTTTCATAGCGTTAAGTACCTGTAGCAGTAAAAATGAAAAATAAGATATGAATTAAACACCCAAAACTGGAATGAAAAGATAAACCAAACTAAAAGCAAAAGAATTAAGAAAGAAAAAAGATGCATTAGTTATACAGAAAATCAGAAGAAATAATGAATCCAAAAGTTGAGTTTGAGGTATGTACCAATAAAATAGATACATCATTAGCTAACCTAATAAAGGAAAATGAGATTGCCAAAGTAAAATTCAAAAGATAGGGGGACATGACCATAAAAATAGGACGTTTAAAGAATCACACTAGTTTGACCAAAACATATAATTTATTCAAATATGTTTGAAAACCTAGGTGAAATAATATTTTTTAGAAACCTACAATGCAGAAAAAATGACCTCAGTAGAAACAGCATCTAAATCAGAAAGATTGCCATAGAAGAAATGGAAAAAAATCGTTAACTCCAACCAAAAAGCACACTAGGCCCAGATGACTTCACAGAGGACTTTTACAAACCTTTAAAGACCAAAAATTTCCAGTGCTGCTATATTTCAGAGTATCAAAAAAAGAAAATGTATTTTACAAAGAAAACGTATCATTGTTCCCCGAATCTGAAAAAATTGGCATAAAAAAAAAACGACTAACCTATTTCACTTGTTATCAATTCAAAAGTGATAAAATAGTAGCAAATAATCTAACAGCATATTCTGAAAAACACTTCACGACTAAAAGGCTGCTTTAGGAATACAGAATTGATTTACTATTTGGAAACCATTAATATCATCCTTCATATTGATAGAGGGGAAAAATCATATAATCATATCCAGACTTGTGCAAACATTGGATATATTCAATACCAACTTAGGTTAAGAACTCTAAGAACTGATACTTTTCTTAGCACAATAACACACACACACACACACACACACACTCTCTCTCTCTCTCTCTCTCTCTCTCTCTCTCTTAGCAGAAAAGCCAGGACCTTACTAGGTGCCTTCTAAATGCTTTTCCACTGAAGTCAAGAACCAGACAAGAATGTCCCCTCTATCTACTACTACTCAACATGAGTTTGAATGTATTAATATAGACAAAGGCATTCAGACTGCCTACTGTATCTGCTAAAATCATATGTCTGGAAAACCCAAAAGAATCCATGGAAAACTAACTACAAAGAGTATAAGAATTTAGTCAAATAACATTAAAAGTTAATACACATGTAAAAGTAATATTCCAGTTAGGATGTAGTAGGTCAGGGCAGGTCACTGCCTTACAATAACTTGAATGAACCAGATAAACTTCTAAAATCATGTTTTTAAAGCTATCATAGAACTAGGCAAGCAACAAGATATGAAAGAACTAAATTACTAGTGACAGAAGAACCTTTCCAAAGTGAGTGGTGATTGCCAGCTGTGTCTTCCTGCCTATGCCGCCAGCGCTTGTTGATTCACGGTATGAGCTAAGAACTGGCCTTAGCCTAGGGAGAAAGCCATTACTGAGAAAAAAGACAAAGTAGTAAAGCTTTTAGCAGTTGTTCAAGGTGGAATTAACAGATTGGAAATCAAACACATGACCAGTTGTTTTCCAAGGAGCATTTTGATTAGAGCTAAGGCCACACAGGAGTCTGGGGGATTAGGCCCAAAACTTAGGAAAGGTAGAGTGAAATATCTCCATCTCGCACTGCTTAGGAAATAAGGAGATGCCGAATGACAGAGCCAGCCATAATCATATGGCTTTTTCCCCTCAAGATTTTCATCTAGATACTACTTGGATGCGAGACTGAAGTGAGCTGGGGACCTCTAACAGGAAGAAGTCTTTAGGGCTGAGGAGACAGACACCTAACCTACCTACTCAGACACCTGAGGTCATTCTTGTTCCTCAGTTGTGGCACTCTGGGGATTCTGATTAGGTCTAAATTAGTTCCTAATCTAGCATTAGGTCTAATTAGGTCTAGCTTAGTTAATAATCAGAATCCCTGGTGTGCCACAACTAAGGAACAGGAATGACCCAGACAGACTGAGTCTTGCCAAACTGCATGCCCCAACCTAACTCATTATCGGGCAGGAATGAGTTGATGAGTCTTACAACTTCTTTGCCTAATAGAATGAAGGGAAAAACTGCCCTGATGAAATATTTTAATATCTGGAGCTACTGTGGTTCTTTTATACAGAAAGACCAGAATATAATTTTTAGAAAAAAATACTAGATATGCAAAGAAGCAAGAAGGTATGGTTGATAACAAGGCAAAATGTAGACAACAGGAGCAGATTTACAGATAATAGAGATATTATACTCAGTAGACAAGGACTTTACGATAACTACAATTAATATATTCACAAAAATAAGGGAAAAGATGAAGAAAGCAGATGAAAATAAGTACCTTTTCACCAGAGAACTAGAAACTATTTTAAAAATCAGATAAGCATTCTAGAACTTAAAAATAGAGTAATGAAAACTCATTGAATGGGTTTAATAACAGATTGAACAGAGCACAGCCCAGAATTGGTGAACTAGAAAAATATGCAGACAGAACCACAGAGAAAACAAGGGAGTGTGGGGATTGATAAGAGCATTAAGAAATGATGGAAAAACTCCAAAGATCTAACATACATATAATTAGGGTCTGGGAGATAGAGAAGTAACAGAATTGGGCAGAAGCGGTATTTGAAGAAATGGGCTAGAATGTTCCAAAATAGATGAAAGGTAGCCTACAGATTCTAGAAGCTCAGCAGACCCCAAGCAGAATAGGTACAATGAAAAGCACACCTAGGAAAATTAAAAGCTTAAGAGGCAGGAGGAAAAATACTATTTCTGTATCAGTTACCTATCATTACAAACAAACAAATGGCTGTTTACAATTACAGAACTTAGCAGCCATTTATTTCTTTGTAATTCTGCTGTCTGGGCTGGGCTCAGCCTGGCACTTCTGCTGATCTCACCTGAAGTCACTTACGTTGCTGGGGCTGCACACCCAAGAGCTCTTGACTCTCATGTTTGGTACCTCTGGGGAAGCCTGGAAGAGTGGGAGCTGTCCAGGCTCCATCTCTACATGGTCTCTTAAGTACCATGTGATCCCTCCAAGTCCATCTGGTCCCTCCAGCTCCAC